TGCAGGGCACCCTGTGTCCCTGACGGATTCATCATCCAGCCGCCCGGAGTAGGTCGTTTGTAGTTTGTCCTTAAATTTAGGGATTCTTTGTCTATCGGCAGCGTGCGGGAAGCTAAGTAAGGGCTGAATGGAAGACAGCATTCCTTCTTGTAAGAATTTCTGATTTCCTCAGTTTTGGGATTATCTTTTCCTTAGGCTGTTAATTTTCCTGTCTTACTGTTTTGAGTATGCTCACGACTGTTTTTGCTTGCTTTGTCAGCAGGGTATAATGGAGCATCATGTCAAGGAATACACTGTCTTGTCCTGTGAAGGAAACTCAAAGCACGAAAAACATCACAGCACAAATTCTGAAAATGTAACACTGGGGGAACCATTCTTTGAAATAACAGGAGAGCATTTTGCTTCATATTTTCTGTCTCTAAACTAAACCTTCCAGTATACACAGACCGAGAGCAGTTCACGGATCCTTACTGTCTTTCTAAAACTGATGCTAAGTGTTCCGTCTCAACCAGTATGTCTTGTCCTGAGCTTCAGTGGCATAATGGAAACATCCCAAAATTAAGTAGGAGTTTGTAGATCTACAGTTAGTTCGAATTCAGGGCAGCCCTTACTTGCCTCCAGCAAGGTGTCCTCAGTTAACTCAGGCCTCTAGTGCTCTTGCAGACGTGGATCTATCATGCCCACTGAATATCTGCTGATTTTCCTTACCAAGAATTCATCTCTGCCTGTATTTCCAGACCTTTCCTCTAACTTTTCCCTCCAGCTCACTAGGTACCTACCTTGTACTTTTTAGCTAAATAAAATTAAGTCATGCTTTGGAGCTTATCAAATGGACATCACAAAGACCCTGGCTGTAATTCACAGGAGTGATTTAATTTAAGTCATTCCACAGATATTATTTATATAAAAGTACATAATCTGGTAGTTAAATACAAGGAATCAATCAGATACTGGTTTGAAAGAATAGGGATTGAAACACAGTATGTGGAAAATACTAAAGCTGTAGAGACTGGACTGGCAATAGTCTCGTGAGGACAAAGACCAGATCTGAAGTTCATGAATATCAAAATAGGTATTCGTACACATCAAAGGGTATGACATTTTTGCTGACTACTACCTGAAGTCTGGGAGCCTAAACAGAGGCGTTCGTTAGTGGGAAAAGTACGAAGAAGGAAAGTTGTTTTCACAGGCCTTTTATGAATTTAACAACGCTGTCCAATCCCTTTTTCCCAGATGGGAATGACAAACCACAGTAATCATAGAAGCTTATGATTCCATGGAATCCATCCTCGAGGTGGTACCAGGTCACTGGAACACCGTTGTCCTCCAGTCTCTTCTTGTAAAGCAAACCATCGTCCCTCAGCACATCATACTCGCAAGTCAGGATGAAAGACTCGGGCAGCTGCTGAATCACAGCATCTTCGGCCAGCAGCGGGCACAGGTTGGGCTCACAGAATCTCTTTGCTTTCTCAAAATCTTCAGCCTTGAATTCACGGGGCTTGTGTGGCTTGTGTGGCTTGTAGCCTCTGACCTTAAATTTTTCGGGGATGTGATCTGGGCTCACCCACTTCCTGTACTTCAGCCTCATATCCGGAGGAATATGAGAGCCCTCCAAGACCTCTTGCATATGCAGCGCATGCCCATTGAGGTACTGCAGAGCAAAGAAAGCAGCACGCTCTCGGAATAAGGGAGGGACCCCTCGATTTTGATGGTAGGATGGTAAATTGAAGTCCAGGGCCTGCAGGCCTGGGTAGATCAAGACCTGAGCACGCAGGCTGGGGAGGTCTGATCTACCTGCAAGGGTCTGGCTAACAGCAGCTGCCAGATTGCCCCCAGCACTGTCCCCACAGACAGTTATGTTGGCAGGATCCACACCATAGTGCTCTGCCTTCTTCATGAAGTGTATGGTGGCATTAAGACAGTCTTCATACGCAGCAGGGTATTTGTGTTCAGGGGCTAAACGATACCTAGCACACACAAAGACAACGAAAGTAAGAGAAAGGAATGTCATAACTGTAAATACAAACTTCCTACAGCACCTTGGCTTTCCCTGTGTTGTTTGGAGTATGTTATCTTCAGAGAAAAACTAAACACCTGTGTTGTTATCAGCTAAACAGGTATTTGTCCAGCAAGTTATCACAGATAAATGGTAGCCTGTAGAATGAAGTTGCAAGGACATGGCATAGTTGGGATCTTCTTCTGAGAACAGCACTGATCAGAACCTAAACGATACAAGTTCATTTTATACTTCTGGTGTATACTGCATTTGGCTTGCGGATGAAGTAATTTAACCAGTCTGTTCTTGTACTTAGGATATTTACCCTTGTGAATTACTCTATTTTCTTTTTCTGTGTTTATTTAAGTAACTGGGACAGAGAGATTTTTCAGTAGTATTAGTATTAGAATATATTAGCAATTGATTCTTACTGTTAGAAAGCACCTTGAAGTTCACAGAGTGATTATATTTACCTAAACAGATCACTGAATCACCACCTTCGAAGTTGGTTTCTTAGATCTCAACATATTACAAAACTCTTCTGGAAAGGATTCCTTCTTTTTGTGTGGTGCCAGCATAGCTCCATGCTGGAAAGTACATGAACCTTACTTTGGGGTCTGTTTGCACTCTCCCTGCATTAGCAGATTGGTGTGGGGAGGAAGAGATTAAAACCATCCCCTTGGAATTCTGTCTGACCATCTGGGATCCTGGGGAAACGGTTACCGAGGAGGAGGAGTGTTCCCACAGTGTGTGTGATGCTGTGGTGCTAAGTGAAAAGAAGCAAGAAGGCTTTCATAGAGTCGTACCAACGTAACTCACCCAACCGACACAACCACCGAGTTGCTTTCTCTGGCAATGTAACGGCAAATCTTTTCATGGGAATCTGCAAAACGTTTGGGGGTCGTTGCGTGCCCGCTCCCTTTCCACATGCCATAGGCAAAGGGAGGCGTACGCCTCCTCTTCCCGCCCTGCCCGCGCCCT